AGCGACTCACATCACTGTAGGGGGCCCCGAAAAAGGGATCTCTCCCGGTGAACGAAAGCAGAGGGTCGCCGAGAGGGCCGTACCCCGTGCTGTTGCAGCCGTCCGCCTCGAACGAGATCAAGTCCGTCGCCGCAGGATTGAACAGGAACGAGCGCCTCGAAGGGGTCTGCTCTGAAGCCATGCCGAAACCTAGTTGGGTGCCAGTTATGTGGAGATAGGTTTGCACTAGGCTTACCTACTAAGCTCAATCATGTAAGGATGCGACGTCCTACACTCCCGCTGCGTGCGATGACGCTGCGGCCGGGTTCGTCGTTTTTCTCCGACACGGCGCAGAAACCACGCACTGGGCAGGAAAACAAGAACGGGTTTATAAACCCAAGATGCAGCACAGTGCGACACTCACGGGCTTGCAGGCCGTATAGGGTACTCCGCAAGACCGAGCAAGTACGCTTGCCTAGGGCGCGACGACTCCCGCACAAGGGCCGATGTCGAACGCACGAACGAGAAGCCGCCTGCTAAGCAGCGCGTCAACCTCTCGTGGAGGCCTGAGAGCATCTGCCACCACGAGCGAATTGTCGGGCGTAACATAGCTCGTAGGAGACGAGGATGTCATGCGCACCAAAAGGGAAATGGCGCTGCGTTGTGACGTAGGCCCAAGCAGCGTAGCGTGCCTGGACATGCCAGCACGGGACAGAGCCAACGGTCCACTCGCCCAGACCGAGAGGCGCCCTGGCAGCCATCTTGGCGGATGCCGGTGCTTATGCGCGCCCGGGCTACGCTGTCGGCACGCGCGCGGTAGCTGGGGAACGAGGCGCCAGGTTGGAGGGCGCTCTCAATTCCCACAAATGGCAGAGCTGGGAGCATAGCTGAAAATTAGGTGCGAAAGTACAAGTTTAGTCATCACTTCCTCTCGAAAGATGCCCGAGGGATGGCTCGCGCTCCCAGCAGAGTTGGCCTGCCTACAGTTTTAAACAAACTCCGCGCGGGGGCGCTCGCGACCAACACTATCAGCAGGTGGCCAAACCAAAAAGAACTATCTGTTAAGAAGAAAGTGAAGGAAACAGAGACTGACGTGTGGAGAATTGGCATGATTAAGAAGTCCGCACTAGAGATCTATCGAACTTTTAAGCAGGAAACTGCCAAGGAAAGGATCTATGATAATACTCGGGGTAGTTCTCTACTGTTTGAGGCCAGGACGGGAGTATTGCGAACGAAGACATATCGGGCCAAATACGAAGGGGTAGACACAGTATGCAGTGCGTGTGGAGAGGAAGAAGAAACTGCCAAACACTTAATAATGTTCCGTAAAGGGCTTCACTCTATAGTTCAGGATGATGGCGCAGAGTTTTTCAAAGCACTGGGGTTTAGGGACAGGGAGGGCAAAATAGACTTTAAGCGGGTTAACTAGAAGGAGGTTATCTTATTGGTGGCTAAAGTCAAGGCACGAGTGAAAATTAAACCCTTCACTGCAAAGTGCGAATCCTCAAACTGACTTTTAAAAAATCTAGTTTTTGGTTCATTAAGTATTACGGCTTGGTGGCGCTAGCCACCGCCCGATCTAAAGGGTACATCCATCCATCCATCCATCCATCCATCCATCCATCCATCCATCCATACACCCACCCACCCACCCGCCCGCCCGCCCGCCCGCCCGCCCGCCCGCCTTTATTATTCATGAAGTACCTACAAGGATTAGAGGCAAAATTAGAGGAAAGTGGGCTGGGCTTCAACCTCTCTTTAGTCAAACAAGAAAAACTTATTGATCAGGCACTACCAGCATTAATGTACGCAGATGATATAGTGCTAATGGCCAACAACAAGGAAGATTTGCAGAGATTGATGGACATCTGCGGTAATGAGGGAGATAGGTTAGATTTTAGATTCAGTAAGGAAAAATCAGCAGTCATGATTTTCAATGACAACGAAGGTAGTGAGTTTAGCATACAGGACGTCACGCTAGAGATAACAGATAAATACAAATATCTGGGCGTATGGATAAGCAATGGGACCGAGTACCTGAGCGAACACGAAATATACGTGACGACTAAAGGTAACAAGAATGCAGCAGTGATGAAAAATAGGGCACTGTGGAATTACAATAGGTATCATGTTGTGAGAGGAATATGGAAAGGGGTCATGGTTCCTGGGCTGACGTTCGGCAATGCGGTCTTGTGCATGAGATCAGAAGTTCAAGCAAGATTAGAAATTAAGCAACGTGGAATAGGTAGGCTTGCTTTAGGAGCTCACGGGAATACACCAAATCAGGGAGTACAAGGTGATATGGGATGGACATCATTTGAGGGCAGGGAAGCTAGCAGCAAGGTAAAATTTGAGAAGCGATTGAGAAAAATGAAAGAGGAGCGTTGGGCTAGGAAGGTTTTCAGCTACTTGTACATGAAGAATGTCGATACAAAATGGAGGAAGCGAACCATGAAGTTGACTGGTAAATACTTAGAAAACAGCAGGTGGCCAAACCAAAAAGAACTATCGGTTAAGAAGAAAGTGAAGGAAACGGAGACTGGCATGTGGAAAATGGGCATGATTAAGAAGTCCGCACTAGAGATCTATCGAACTTTTAAGCAGGAAATTACCAAGGAAAGTATCTATGATAATACTCGGGGTAGTTCTCTACTGTTTGAGGCAAGGACGGGAGTATTGCGAACCAAGACATATCGGGCCAAATACGAAGGGGTAGACACAGTATGCAGTGCGTGTGGAGAGGAAGAAGAAACTGCCGAACACTTGATAATGTTCTGTAAAGGGCTTGACCCTATAGTTCAGGATGATGGCGCAGAGTTTTTCAAAGCACTGGGGTTTAGGGACCGGGAAGGCAAAATAGACTTTAAGCAAGTAGACTTAACTAGAAGGAGGTTATCTGATTGGTGGCTAAAGTCAAGGCACGAGTGAAAATTAAACTCTTCACTGCAAAGTACGAATCCTCAAACTCACTTTTTAAGGAATAAATAAATAAATATAGTTTTGAGTTCATTAAGTATTACGGCTTGGTGGCGCTAGCCACCGCCCGATCTAAAGGGTACAGCCATATCCATCCATCCATCCATCCATCCTTTTCAAACTGAAGGAAGGAAAGGGTGTGGCAGCTGTTTTTCTTCTCATGCGGCAGGCATCTTTCTAGAGGAGGCGTTGGTTTAGTCAGTATCACTGCGTCACCAGCACGCACGTCATCAGCACGTCACCTCCAGAGGCGAACCAATAGGGCGCGAGCAATCCTCACTCTGGCGGTGGCGTCCTCCTCGCACTCTTTTTTTCTCTTTCGTGCGATGCGGGACCAGCAATTCCAAATATGCGGCTGGGACAGGCGTCGGGTCTATGTCCAACAGAGCCGCACTGACCGCAGGCTGGAACACCTCAGTGCGGCTCAGTAACACATGCGCCGCAGTAGGACATGGCAAAATGATCCTAATGACGTCAAAGTGTCAGTCTGCTATTAACCGCTAGTAATCGAACTAGCTCCTCTAAATAGAAAACCTTCCGCTCATTAAGAGACGTAATAAAATGCTGCTTGTTCGTTTCTATTTGATTCATGGAAAAAAGAACCGCCGGACATTACTACTATGTGGAATAAAAAGTTCAATTTTCGCCTGGTTAAACAGTACAGGTCATGTCATCTAGCGGGCCCCAGTTAAACCAAGCACGCCTGCCATCTCGGAGGCTATGACAGGAATTTTTTAAATGATCGTTGTTGCTGCTGAGGCTCCCGCTACTTTCGTTCTGCTGCTACTAGTGTCAGCGGCCATGCAGTAAAGCAGGGCAACATATGCGCAAGACAACAGTGACGTGAAAAGTTCCATTGGAGGCGGGCAGTTTGAAGGCTGCTAACACAATACGGACCACTAAAACGTGATTTTATTTCAAAATAAGCACTTCTTTGGCACAAAAATAGCACGAGGTTTCAGCAGTGCCCCTTTAAAGCACAAGAGGCAGTAGGATTGGGCGTGTTGGTATAACATGATAAAGAGTGCTTACCAGCGCAAACGACGGTACTGGAGGGGACACCAGAAGAGACGAGACAGAGCGCTGACGGCGGCACAGGAGAGGACAGGAGAAGAGACGAGACAGAGCGCTGTCAGCGCTCTGTCTGGTCTCTTCTTTTGTCCCCTCCTGTACAGTCGTTTGAGCTGGTAAGCACTCTTTATCCCTTTATAAAGCATTCGCAATCGTATGCTTCTACTCCATTTTGGCTCCATACTAGTAAGGGAGGGCAGTAGAGAAAGGCTGAGAGAGTGACGACATTAATGTTGAATTCCAATGGCAGATCGCAAGCGCTGGGCCGGATTGCGAATGAACGAATGAAGCGCGCAGGTGCGAGCCGGATTGCTGTCACCAAATCTGCGACTGGAACGCACGCGTCTCGGCGGGAGCTCTTGGTGAGCGGAAATCTAGCGAGAGAGCACATGAGGGTGCGAGAGAGTGCAAAGCGTTTTCCGAGCGTCCATCGGTGATTGGATGAAATGCCGGCGCACAGAGTACGTCACTTGAACTTCCGGTCAAATCCGCCGATTTCGGTGGAGCAAGAATTCTTGCTCCACGGAGCAATTCGTGATCTGCGGTTGCTCTCAATCTGCCATTGGAACACACAATTCACGCTCCCAATCTGCCAGTGGAATGTGATTGCTCCGCTCAGAGCAGAAAAACTTGATCTGGATCTGCCATTGGAATTCAACATAAGTTTGCAGGAATAAAATGGAATTAGCTCGCGCAGGATAGACTGGTAAACTGGAGATCACTGGGAGAAGGCCGCACTGGACAGGCTGAGAATGGTCATAATGATGAATTTGACGTAAACGCGAGCATGAATTGCAACCTTAAGCAGTTTTTACACGTTCCTGCAAAACGTTCCCCCCGTTTGGAGGAACTTATTTCGGTACCTCGGTCAAATTGTCTGTATAGCATCGGCTTGACCAACGCCGTGGTACAGTATATAATTCTTGCATATTTACACCTGTACATGCTTGAAACGCGATTTCACCGTTACACAGGTTCGGGAGCACGAGTCAGCGCGGCTCACCATCTCGGCCAACATGGCTGACACAGCGAGCATAGTGCGTGGCCTGCTGCTGCGCGCCGAGGACTGCCGCCTGCTGCGAGATTAGTGGGTATCCCAAGGAGGTTTGAGAAAAAATGCCGCATCTTACCACGTTAACTGAGAGTGCAAAAGGGAGTAGCAAAGCATGCAGTGTTTTGAAACCGATTTTGAAACAGTGTTTTAAAACATGGCCGAACCACTGTACCTTAAGTGTGCACTCTAAAAAAAACTGGAAAGCTTGTAAGCACAAGCATAGATTTAGTAACAGGAGCTGTTACTAACTTTCTTGCACACTTGCTATTTTTTGTGACCTTTTTACTACGGAAGTTTTTAGACTCTTAAAGGTTGCAAGAATTCTTTTGTGCACTGTTTCTAACTTTTCGCCATGCACTTCTTTAACGAGGCGGTTTTACACTAAGGAAACATAATATATTCTTGGAATTCATAATTATTTAAAGTCCTGCGCCACGTCAAATCCAGCATCTAAAGTAATTGTGCACTGTCTAAACAAACAGGAAAATTTGACATATTTATTCTAAACCACAGGCACCCCACCAGCACAAGTTGTGTTTGCCCAAACATAGAACAATACCTAGAAGCACTTATCAGCTGAATGCACCGCATGGACTTATCGTTGTGTATGAGTGTGGTGCTGAGAGTTGTCGGGTATATAGTACATTGATATGCAAATAATAAACATTGTGTATATGACGTGTATATCAATTACAGCAACGACTCTCGTGTCGCGTCTTTATATGATGATGATTGATCATATATACAGAGGATTCACGTTTTACCGAATTTGACCTCTTGAGCAAGCTTTTTATGATTCATTTTGTGGATATGCGGGAATTTTTTTAAGCGACATTAGCAGCTGGAGTTACATAAAAAAACTGCGGTCCACGCCAGCCGCGTTAGCACCTTCAATTAGCATCTTCTTGGGCTACTCGGTAACTATTTAAATAGGTTAAAGATGTGACACACACGCATCCAAGTTTGGTTACCTTCTATTGTGTCTGTGTGTTGTTATCTCTTTACCTTACTACAAACAGCAATTGGCAAAAAAAAAATATGAAAGCATATTGCCGCGTGCATAGCTGCGTCTAGCGGCGAGGGTAGCGACGACAACGAAGATCGCGGATTCGCTCGAGAGGCGCAGCGCAGGCGAGTGAAGAAGACGACAATCATCTTAGCGGCCTTCTTTGAGAGGTCTCTACGAATTCTACTGTCCGTGTTTTTTAATTAACCCTCCGTATTTTATAACCCGTAACACTGGTAGAGTTGCGGGGTACTACCACCACATGATTGGCACCCCTGTGAGAATCCCCGAGTCCAGCCCTATATACGAAACAGCCACGCGTAGAGACGCCTGTGCATCGCTCAAGCCGTCAACTTCAAGGTCTTGAACCAGAATTTGGCCTTTCAGAAGGATCAACACTTCTGACAGCCACCCCTACTCAAGAAATGGCATTTTCAATGAGTCCTGCACAGGTGACGGTCCAGAATATGCGCATTCCTGAACCATTTCATGGCCGGCCGAACGAAGATGCGCAAGACTGGCTTGAGCAGTTTGAAAGGGTAGCTAAATCAAAGAACTGTAATATCGATGAAAGCTCTTCCACGTACGCTTCGCCCTTGAAGACGGCACAAAGACGTGGTAGGTAAACCACGAGGCAACATTGACGACATGGGAGGAGTTTTGTCGTCAGTTTCTTGACACCTTTGGTAACGCGGACCGACGCGAAAACGCACAACGCCTTCTTGAAGGACGCACCCAACAGCTGCAGTAGAGTGCCTAGAATATTCTCCTAGTGTCATGAACAGGCGCCTTCCCCATCGGCGACTGGGAAATTGATTTGTATTCAGCGTTAGGGGGCGCTACTTGCAACTGGCGCGTCAGTGCGTGCCGGCCGGGCCTTTCAACGTTGTGTCGGGTGGCGACTTCTCTGTGTAGTGAAGCGTGTTCTCGCTACGTTTCGAATATGTGCCGTGAATTCTCGTGCAGCGATTGTGTGTGACTATGCCTGAAAAAAAAGGAAGAACGTGCTTTGTGCCTTTGTGCAAAGGCGGGTACAAGTCTTTCAAGGAGAAGGTGTCTCTGTTCAGGGCTCCGGCAGACCGTGTTCGTCTTCAAGAATGGGCGCGAAACATCAAAAGAGGTGACAAAGTTCTAGGCGAAACTTGTGTAGTGTGTTCTCGTCATTTTGATGATCGCTACATCCAAAGAACTTTCAAGCATGTCATCAACGGCGAGGACGTCGAATGCGACCGTGAACGACCATCGCTAACGCCGGACGCCGTTCCTACCATTTTCCCGGATGGCCCCGCTTACCTGACTAAACCAGTGCCTCGAAAAAGAAAAGAGAGGAATATTGCTGACTGCACAGCTCCACCTGCTAAGCGTAAAGCGCCGAATGAACCCACGACTTCCCAGCCTGTGACGATGCTGCCGCTGGCGAGAAAACAGCACAGGCGCCGCACCCGTTTCACAGCATAACGCCGCCGTCGGCATTTTGCAGCAAAATTTGCTTGCCCAGTAACCCAGAAGCATTGTGCTTCGCATGGCACTACAATACAGTGCCGGGTGACGTGTGCGTGTTGAAACACGTAGTGTTTTCGTCAAGCAAGGAAGTAGGTGCTGCAGATGAGTACCTTTGCAGTACTTACTGCCGCGGCATAAATGTGGAAGAGCACTATGTCAGCACCGAAACTGACGCGCTCGCTTCGCTGAAAAGGGCCTGACATCTGCTTCTTTGTTGCGGCTGCGAATTGAGCCTGCCGCTGGCACTAGTGCGTCCGTTTCGGAAGCGGATGTTTTCTCGCCCAAGTGCTTGGTTACTACGCAGGATGGGAAGCTTGCTTGAGGTGCAGTGCCTGAGGAGACTGATTCAAAATCAGCGGAACAGACTGAAGAAGAAACGCAGAGGCACATTCAAGCAGCGCATTTCTAGGAAGTCTGTGCAGTTGTTCCGGGCCAAGAAGAAGCTGGCTAAGGCGCAAAGGAGCATTGAAGAGCTACGGGCAGTCAACAATGGAATTGCCAGGGCTGCTTTAGAAAAAAAAGTTGAGTGGTCTGCCAGTGAAGCAGCGTATTGCTGTCAAAACCTGCTTTCAGGCAGCCACTCGGAAGTCGACCAGAGGCATGTCGTATGACAAACTGTGGATATTGGAGTGCATTCTTATGCGAATTAAAAGTCCACAGCTTTACGAGCATGTCCGCAGGCACGAAATAATGGCTCTGCCAAGCAAGTCTTGCTTATACAAGCATATGAAAGGCTTTAAGAGCGCATTTGGATTTAACTCCAAAGTCCTTTCAGCACTACAGGAGAAGACCAAGGAAATGGACGAGTTTAGCCGTCATGGTGGACTTGTATTTGCATTTTGTATTGGTTTGTTTTTCCTTACTGCTGGTAACTCATTCGCAGGGGGTCCTGTTCGCCAGTGGTTTCGTCTGGCGCACTGTCATTGCTTTGGCATTATTTATTTTTCTGATTACTTCGAGGCGTGAAGGGCCAATCGAAGAGATAATGACCCTTGTACGTGGGTGCGTCCAGGCCTGCCACCGAGTGCAGGGAAAGTAAGTGTCCATAATACATTGTATATATAAAAAGTTGCGAGAAGAGGGTTTGTACAGTGCCTGCGATTCTGCACATGACAACAAAGTCGCGACAGCAGCCTACGGGAGGGAATGGTGGTCGCGGATGAGGAGAGAAATATGTGATTTTTTGTGTTGAACAGTCGTACCGCTGGGAGCCCCCGGTTGGCCACCCCTTAATTACCGCAATTTAAAAAGTAGCATTGGTAACGCGCGAGCGGCCAATCTATGAAGAGGCGGCACGGCAGGAGGACACAAAATCTCAACAAGGCAGAGAGCTCGCATACATTTCGTTCAAATTCACACGCTTTATTTACAGTCTGCATGGAAAACGCAGGATAACAAGGCAATCGCGTGCTAAGCCATGAAACCACCACTGCAATTTCAACGCAAAGCGTCTGCTCCGGCTTGCTGCCTCCCCAGCTTGCCGAAAAAGCAGCGCGCCAGAGAGCGGTACTGCCACCTGGCGGCTGTATCGCATACCATTTCTCCTCGGCCGGCCCGTTCACGACACTAGGAGAAATATTCTAGGCACTCTAGCTGCAGGAAAACGTCGCCATGTTTGCTGAGGATATAATGCATCTGTGCCACCACGCGGACACCAACATGCCCGAGGCTCAAAAGCTAAGCCATCTTAGGAGGGGCGTCAAAGAGCAGCTATTTATTGGTCTTGTGCGCAATCCGCCAACAACAGTGGACAAGTTCATCAGGGAGGCCACCACAATAGAGCGTGCACTGCAGCATCGGTAACGACAGTCTGATCGCCCGGCCACCGGCGCAGCTGCAGGTGCAGCCGCACTTACCGGAAACGACGAGTTTTCTCAACGCCACCTGATTCGATAGATTGTGCGTGAGGAGATTGCGAAGGAGAACGCAAAGTACACATTGCAGTCACAGGCGCCCCCGCAGCAACAGTCCACGCAGGCCTCCGTCGCTGAAGTCGTTCGCCATGAACTTCGACAAGCGTTTGCCTCTCCTCAGCAATATTCCCCTCCGCCGTACCATACAAACCCGTATACCTACGCAGACGCTGTGCGTCGTCCATTAACTCCAGAAGTATCCTACCAGCCGAACAGATACAGCTATGCAGACGCTGTTCATCGACCCACGCCCATACCAGCGCCGCAGTACCTCGAGCCCTATTCTGTGGACCCCAGAAGCAGGATTCTGTCAGGGGACCCTATATGCAAAAGACCGGCATATGGCGCACTGCGGATCGCCGACCACTTAGCTACAACTGTGGAGAGCCAGGGCACATTTACCGTTTTGCCCACATCACCGAGCTGAATACCGCGGGAGTGCACCTACCGCTACACCAGACAGTTCGACGAAAGCCGTGCCCCCATCGACGACGACCAGGCTGGCCGGCGGGAAGGCTCTGCTACCTTCCGGACGCGCTCACCATGCCCGGCTCGTTTTGGTTCACCAAGCTACAGTGTACTAGAAAGGGGCATTGTAGTGAACGAGGCGG